TTTTGTTTTTTTGAATGTCCAGAGGACCAGATTTAACTTTTTTGGATTTAAATCGTCTGGTTTACGAGCTTAACTGAAAGGTGGAGGCGATTGAGAATCGCAGACTACCTGCGTCTTCTGGGACTCATCAGCGTGGTGGGTTCGACTTTGAAGGAGACTCATAGCATGGATCAGTGGAATGGAATCCCATAATTAGGCATTTTTGGAACCAGAACGCCCAGATGGACTCAAAGCTGAAAAAAAAAATCTGTCTGCCTGAAGAAAAAACAAAAATTAAGCTTATCTGAATCAGACTCCCGACGGCCTTGGAGACGGGCTGACTATCAAATTTCTCCTGGGACATGAGTACCCAAGGACAAAAGCTTCATCTATCCACTGTTCTCCTCAGGTCCCATAAAACCTCCAACAACTGTTCTCCTCAGGTCCTGTAAGACCTCAAACAACTGGTCTCCTCAAGTCCTGTAAGACTTCTATCAAATGGTATTCTCAGGTCCTGTAAGACTTCCAACAACTAGTCTCCCCAGGTGTTATAAAACCCCCAACAACTGGTCTTCTCAGGTCCTGTAAAACTTCCAACAACAGGTCTTCTCAGGTCCTCCAAAAACCAAACTGCTCTCCTTGGGTCCTCCAAAACCTCCAACAACTGGTCTCCTCAGGTCCTCCAAAACTTCGAAAAACTGGTCTCCTCAGGTCCTTCAAAATCTACAAAAACTGGTCTTCTGAGGTTCTGTAAAACCAACAATTGTTCTCCTCAGGTCCTATAAAACCTCCAACAATTGGTCTCCTCAGGTCCTGTAAAACATCCAACAACTGTTCTCCTCAGGTCCTCCAAAACCTCCAACAACTGGTCTCCTCAGATCCTCCAAAACTTCCAAAACTGGTCTCCTCAGGTCCTCCAAAATCTCTAACAACTGGTTTTTTCAGGTCCTCCAAAACCTCCAACAACTGGTCTCCTCAGATCCTCCAAAACTTCTAAAAACTGGTCTCCTCAGGTCCTTCAGAATCTAGAAACAACTAGTCTTATCAGGTCCTATAAAACCATCAACAAATGGTCTCTTCAGGTCCTGTAAAACCTCCAACAACTAGTCTCCTCAGGTCCAGTAAAACCTCCAACATCTGGTCTCCTCAGGTCCTGTAAAACCTCCAACAACCGGTCTCCTCAGGTCCTGGATGGATATTTACAGAACAGGGTATGCTTCATTGCTGGAAACATGGAGGTGGAACAACCATTTGAGATATGTCACTGCCATTATATTCAAAGTACATTATTTATTTCAAAAATAAAATACATTTGTATTTATTTTTTCATGTTAATTTGTTCCGCTGTGATTAAAATGTTGATTTAAAAGATTTGCAAGTCATTGCATTTTGGGTTTATTGCTAATAAACACAATGTCTCAACTTTGAGAAATTGGTTTCGAATGAAGGTTAAACTCAAGATTTGCAGTAGCAACATTCAGACCAAACAAAAGGTGAAGGCACAGAAGCCTCATACTGGCACCATTGGAGGGGTGTTTGGTGTAATCTGGGGGAAGTCACCTGTCTGTTGAGTTTGACAGCCAGGATCTTGTAGGGGTAGTTGTAGTTGCAGATCTCTTTTCCTTTCTTGAAGTGATAGATGTTCATGCATTGTGGAGTGAGAGCACTCACCACAACCACCAGACTGCTGGAGAACAGACGCTCCACAATGATCACATCTGGAGTGTTTTCTGAGGAACACAAAGCAGATGACAGCTTTGTTCAGATTTATCACCGAGGTGGGGAAATAATCACAATGTGACAAGCAACTGCAACCCGGATTCCTTTGTTTCTGCTGCTAAAGGTGAAAGATAAGATAAGATAAGATAAGATAGAACTTTATTGATCCCGCAGGAAATTGTTGTGTCAGAGTTTCAGTACAAAGGAACATACACAAGGAATCACACAAGAGATAATAAATAACAAATAATATAAAAATACCATCAATTAAGTTCTAAACAGGTGCAGCACGGTGGCGCAACTGGTAGAGCTGCTGCCTCTCAGCGAGCAGGTCCTTGGTTCAAACCCCGGTCCAGGGGCCTTTCTGGGTGGAGTTTGCATGTTCTCTCCGTGCATGCGTGGGTTTTCTCCGGGTGCTCCGGTTTTTTCCCACAGACCAAAAACATGCATGTTAGGCTGATTGGTAACTCTAAATTGTCCCTAGGTGTGAATGAGAAAGTGAATGGTTGTTTGTCTCGTTTGTCTCTATGTGGCCCTGTGATGGACTTGCGACCCATCCAGGGTGTACCCCACCCCTCGCACAGTGATTGCTGGACATGGGCACCAGCGACCCCCGTGACCCAAAATGGAATAAGTGGGTAAAGAAAATGGATGGATGGAAGTTCTAAACAGGTTAGGTGCAGACATGTAAAATGTTTTAATGTGAATACATTAAAGTGTTGAAAGGACAATGCTTCTGCCTGTGTCTGTGTTAGAAAAAAATATTGTATGAATGAGTGGACAGATTTTATTGAAACACAGAAAATAATAATTGGATGTACATCTCCAACTTTTGGAATCAACCCAATTCAAGATAGATGCCACAGACAGCTGATATAAGTTAAGACACATATCTTTAGCTCCAAGAGCAGGTGAATCCCATTCTTCATGGAATGATTGGCCTTTATTTGTCCCTCTTAATGGAGCAAAGACAAGGATTGTATTTTTCAGCCTATAAGTTGTGGTTTTTCTTGCATGATTTACATGCCCTGTGACTTATAGGCTGAAGTGACATATTTATGGATGTTTTTCCCATATTTATAAACCAACTTTTGGCTGAGATATGACTGTTTTTCATTCATTATGACTGAAAAAAAATTTGAACAGTACCATTTTCAGCCCCTAGATGGTAGCAGAGTAGTAGTAGCAGTAAGGCACATTATATCAAATAATAGGTAAAAGTGGCTATAATGACAAATTCAAA